TTAGAAATTCTTTCAATATTTTAAAATTTAAAAATTTAAAAATTCAGTTAAAACTCCTTATCTTGATTGACTAATGAGACACTACAAACATATTTAGCCGTCTTAATTACAAATTATGATTAAACTTTAAGAGAAGTAGATGTTATTGTTTTTTTTCATATGATTTTATTTATTTATCTATTTTCTTATAAATTAAATTACATTTTTTATTCTCACTTATTTTCACTATATTAGATAACTAATTATTTAATCTATAGATCTATATTTTCTCAAGTGATTTCTTGATTAGTTTAATTGTTTATATTTTTGTCTAGGTAACTGAACAGGGAAAGTTATTAATAAATGACCTCGTACAAACAAACAGTATTAATAAAACCAGTTTAAAACGTTAATCCCGCTTAAACAAATCTCTTGTCCTATCTGCTACTATTTCCAACCTGCTGGGCAGAGCATAACATGGCATAACAGAACACACCATAACATCATCAACATTCTCTCTCTCTCTCTCTTTCTCTCTCTCATTTCTTTGATCTCTCAACTTTCAAGTTCAATGGCTGGTGACATGCACCAACCACAATCCTCTCTTGGCAGAACCTTCCCTCCTAATTCAGAAGATTTCTCAACCTTCTTCAACCAACTCCTCCACAACCCTCCCACACCAGGAATGGACCCTAATCATTCTGCTTCTGATTTCACCCCAAACAACCTCAACAACAACAACCCTGTTCCTTCCTCTCCCTCAACTTTTCATTTCTCTCACCCCCATCACTACATCCCTGCAACTGATGCCAACACCTTCAAACAACACAACAATAATCACAACCCTGATTTCACTTCTTCTTCTGAGGTACCTCCCCTCCAATGTTTATTTTTGGCTCCCCCACAAAAAACTGTCATCCGTTGCACACACCCTCTGGACACAACTCTTCAATTTAAATATCAAAATTGAAACTTGCTCAACGTCTAAATTCTCTAATGCTATTAGTCAAGGTTTTATATTCTGATCACCCCGGTTGTGTTTTCATTGCGATGATTGGTATTGTGAAAATTTGTACATGAATATGGCTGATGTTGTCATAATTGTGATTGTCAAAACTGAAAAAGCCTTTCAAAGTTTTTGTTTTTGTAAAATTTTGCTTGTATTTAATGCCTTTTTAGCCTCGTAGCTTTGAGGAAACTTGGAACACAGTTGGGTAGATCTTTCGAAAATTAAAAATTGCGTTTTGGATGCCTTTTTTCTGTTAGTGAGTGGAGCTTTCTTTTTGTTTTTGATAGAAGAGTGTGGAGGCAACGAAACCTGTCCCACCACCACGTTCTTCGTCAAAGAGGAGTAGAGCTGCAGAGTTCCATAATTTGTCTGAAAAGGTTCTTTTATTCTTCAACTTTATGAGAAGCTTTTATATTTTCTTTGTTTTAATTGATGATTTTGATGTGTGCAGAGAAGAAGGAGTAGGATTAACGAGAAAATGAAAGCCTTGCAGAATTTAATTCCGAATTCTAACAAGGTACTGTATTTCTAATCACTACATACATTCATCTAATCCTTTTCCTCTTCATTAAGCTAATTTATTTTACAAAGGTTTTTCTATCCTCTTTTCTGGATTATTTTCTTCTGGATGAGTCCTTTGTGTTTGTTGTCAACAGACAGACAAAGCTTCAATGCTAGATGAGGCCATAGAATATTTAAAGCAGCTTCAGCTTCAAGTGCAAGTTAGTCTTCTTTCATTCGGCTTGTGATATTATATAATCACTCCTGGGAGATGTCTTTCGTTCTCTACTTGCTCATATGTATTCCCTTGTCCTTTTCATTTTAAGTACTTCACAGATTTTCTTTTTCATGAATACTTTCTTGTACAATTCTTTTGTTACTTAGCTCACTCATAATTTTATAGTTTCTATGGAATATTCACCAATAATTAAAGACTATGTTAGGGAATAAAAATTATTGTATGATACCCGGTTAAGTCACATAGAGATTGGCTGGGACCATTTACACATAGTGGTCCTGAACCATACAGTAACTTATTAAGATTTTGTTACTTACAAGTACCCTTTTCTTGTATTTTTGTGATCAATGAAAGGACACATTTTCTTTTTAGATTTTCACTTGAGATGAACAGTTGAGAACTTCATAATCTGTTTTGGACAGTGCAATCAACCTGTCATGCGGTTAAGTTGAGTCATAGAATCAATAAACAGCAGATATGATGACTGTTTATTCGCATGCTCAACCATGATTTGACATGGAGTTTCTTTTGTTAGTCACCAAAAGATAAACTTTACTTCCGTGCTAACTTAAGAGTTGAGAGGGCAGTGAACTCCTGAATATTCTTGTTGTACACATTGACCTTAACCATAGCATGTGCCGTCGATGAACAAAAGACTAAATGACCTCTTAAAGTTGTTTGAACTCTTTTAGGTACATTTATTCACAAACTGAATTTTTCAGAAAACTTGAGTGTTAGGATTAAAGTTGGAAAAACCAAAAGTACTGTTACTTTCAAAGCAATTACTTTTTCCTTCTTCATATGGTATACATTAGAATTTGTTATTATGCATTAAAATTCGTAAAATTATTTTCTTAACTTCAATTCAAACATAGCCTAGGTGGTTAGGTGAAGACACGCATGGTTTTTATATTACTTCCTTCACAAGAGTCCTTGCATTTGAAGCAAGAACAATGCATAGGTTTACCACCTCGTTCTGAAATTTAACTTTTTATTAGAAGAAAAAGAACAACAATGATCACACTCTAGACCACTAGGCCCCAGAGGCTTTGGTTTATGAACCATCTATCCTAAAAGTTTAAACTTTTAGGCTAAGACACATAAATCACCTGTTTTTATATCACAACTCTAATACGTTTTAGAGTGGGTACAACATCCCGAACATGTAAAAATGTCCAAGTGGCTGAATATTAATTGACTCACTTTAGTTAATTGATGGAGGAAAAAGAAAAGAGAAGGCTTAGAAGTTGGTATTGCCAGATTTAGGTTATTTGAGTCTATTACTCATTCATTGTCTAATGGTTACTTTAGTGTCTGTGATTGATTCTGCAGATGTTAATGACGAGAAATGGTTTGAGCTTGCATCCAATGTCTTTGCCAGGAGAACTAAGACCTGTGATAATGCCTCAGACTGGGTTGAACCTTGATGAGAGTGATGGACTTCAGAATTCTACTAGTGCAATTGCATCATCTTCAAATGAAGAAAGCTTGGTTCGGCATGCTTTTAGTTTTCCAAAGCAATGCAGCATCTCAGATCAGTCCCATGTTGTGCCCTCAGTGACAAGTTTAGCCACCTCCAATGCCCCAACCACTTTTCATCCTTCTATTAAGGTTCATGCTTAATACTTCGACTCCTCAATATCATTGTGTTCTGAGATGAGATCATCATGTGCTCATAGTACAAATTCCAAAACTCTATCTATATGCTATATATGTGGAGATTAATCAGAAAGAATCATAGACGTTTCATGATTCAAATTATATAATAATTTATCTTCATGATCAGTACTTTATTGTTTTGATATATGTTGAGCTTAACAACTCTTGGTGCAATATGAAGGATACACTCTACAACAACATGCCCCAATTGTTTATGGATGCACCAAAGATTGGAAAGGACCCTTCTTCAGACTTGTCTTGATCAGTTCTAGGGATAAATGGATTTATTTTAGAGATGCCAAGTCACCTTGTAAAAGGGTAGCTTTGTTCAGGAATTATAATCTACATTTAAATCTTCTGACTGCAAACACTCCATTGGGTTGATCGTGGTGCTATTGGTAACCATTTGACAGAATCTTTGTGCCCTCGTCGACACTTCCATAAAGATGTACAAGTATATTATAACTTCATCAGGCAAAATGAAGCAAATGAACATTATTAGACATTGCAACCTGTGATGTTTTTGGATCTGTTATATTCTTGGATTATTGGATACATATCGATCTACACTATGCTAGAACAGAGAAAACATTATTAGTATTTATGCCAGTAATATCAGTTTATGTTTTTCAGTGTCTTATTTCTATTTAAAGTGGAAACAACTGCACTAGGCTTCATTAATCAAACTAGAACACAAAAACAGTAGCTGCATGTGTGGATTTGCCATGTGTACTTTTGACATAACTCACCTTAGCTCTAATAGTTGTTTTTTGCGCTATTTTTTATGTGAATCACTTAGGAACGTGAATTGTGTATTCAAAACCAAACAAGCTACAAATTATTTTCTTTTGTTATTGAAGTAGTTGAGCTTGTTGGAATCTACTTGTCTAGAAGAGTGTGAATAATGATTGTAAAATTGGAAAAAGTTGTCTTTAAAAAATGTAGACAGAATATTAAGAGAAAGAGAAGAAGCATGTGCACTTACGGGGAAAGCACGAACCGTTAGCAGTGCGTAGTTATGGAAGAAAAACATGCAATGAGTAACCAACCGTCTACTAGCTAGGAAGGAGTCAGTGGAGTGTCGGAAATGAAAAGGACTTGGAGCATGAGATGAAGATTAAGACATGCATGTTGATGAAAAAACAAAGAAACAAGAGGCTAAATTCCTTCTATGGAATCTCTTCACTGTAATGATCACTAATCATGTTCCATCATTTCTACCTCTAACTTCAGACGTGGTCCTCTACACTAAGATGTTTAGAAATTTGAGCTTTCCTTCTTGACTGTACATTGTCTTTTTCTTTAATTAACAATACTCAAAATAAATCAACTTAACGTAAATTCAACTATTTACTGTCTTCTTAAAAAAATATACTTCAAGTTTAATTCTACTTTATAAAATGATCTAATTCTACCTTATAAAATGATCTAATTCTATATATTAATTAAGAGCAACCGACAACAATTTATCAGTGACTTGATAATGAGTAATACAATGGTTCAATAAATAATAAATCTTGTAAAAATAAACTTTGCATAACTCTAATACTATTGGAATAACTCTTTTAAGTTAACTTGATTTTATAAGACTGACTTATAAAATGATGTATATATCTATTTATATACTCTAAATTTATTTTATTTATAGTAAGTGAGATTTCTAATCGTGTGATAAATTTTATTAAACTTTAATGATATTTAATATATTCCTAGTATAAATACAATATCAATATTTCGAATTTAAAATAGATGTATCTTAAGGTGGTGTTTGAAAAGTTCTTTTGAATTTATGAAAATTGGTTATGATTCTATCACATATTTTTCTTAGTGAAATAAGATTATTTTCGATGGAAAATGCTTTTCTTCTGTAACAATGGAGAATAATGGTATCAAACCGGGTTGTCCAAAAAAAAAAGATGTATAACGTTCATTAGAATTTCACCATTGAAAAAAAATCACTGCTTAAGTTTAATAAACTTAAGAACTGATGTATCATACTAAGAATCATATGAAAAATATAAATAATGAAGTTATACAACCTTACTGAGCTGCCCCTCTTACCTTTAGAGATTCTCTAAGCTTTACAAAAAAGTTTGTCAAAGAAAATTGTTTTTAACTTATGATTAAGCTCTTATTTTTAAAAATTATTAAATGAACATTTAATTAAATTATTTAACAAAATGTCCAAGCAGCCACCCGATGTTGATTAAAAAGAACAAGTCACCCTGATTATGTTAGTTGTATGGGCATTTCTTCCTGTATTCCTTAATTTCAATATGCACCCCCATGGGGTATATTACAGAATACAAAAATATTGATATTTAATGTTTTAGATTGTATAATCAGAATATTTTAGATTGTATAATTAGAATTTTAAAATTCATGAAAATGTAGGTTGAGATTTTGGGGTGGAAGAAGAAATCCCTAGTTGTAATTTTGGGCCAGATTCTCACATTCGGGTTAATCCAACATTTTATTTTATTTTATGAGATGAATGAATAAAAAAAGGATGAGGGGCAAGTGTGGAAATTAAAAGAAACTTCTGCATCGACCACCTCGTCATTTCCATTTCCTTTTCTTGGTGGTGTTCTTCAATTTCCATCCATGGCTTTCCCTCAGCACCACTTCCAACGGCACTACCAAACCCAACAACAACAGCCACAGGCCAAACCCTTCAGGTATTTACTATAACTATCCTCTCAATTTTTAATGAAATTCAAACCATTTCCCTTCATTCAACCCTTTTGTTTTTTTTTTTCCTTAATTTTTATTTACAATTTCACCTGCTTTGCCTCTTTATATTTCCCCCCTTTATTGTTTTCTTTTTGCTTTCAGAAATCTGCAAGCAATAGATGGTCAGATTCCACAGCAGGTGGCGTTTTACAACCCTACTGATTTGCAAGATCAGTCCCAGCATCCACCCTACATACCTCCCTGTATGTAAATTCTTCATCTTTACCTTTCTTTTCTTCAGTTTTCTTCCTTTGTATTTCTAGTTGCATATGTTTAATGCTCTGAAAAATATTAACCCTTTAGGAAATTACCCTAGCTAGACTTGTTGGTGGCAGCTCTTTTGGTCATTTTTAGTCAAAGTTGTTTCATTTTTATTGTGGGGTGATTCAACCACTAGAAAAGTTTAGATTTTTTCGTGTCTTTTTTGTGTGTTTTTCCTAAACATTTCTTATGGTGTAGTTGTGGGGTTGGCATAGTAAGTTAACAAGTAGATTTTATGTGTAATGGCTTTTTTTCTTATGTTGTTGTCTAGTTCATGTTGTTGGGTTTGCTCCGGGTCCTGTTCCTCCTGCTGATGGCAGTGATGGTGGAGTTGATTTGCAATTGCAATGGAATTATGGTTTGGAGCCAGAGAGGAAGAGACTTAAAGAACAGGACTTTTTGGAGAACAATTCTCAGATATCTTCTGTTGATTTTCTCCAACCACGATCAGTTTCAACTGGGTTAGGCTTGTCACTCGACAATACTCGCCTGACATCCACCGGAGACTCAGCTTTGTTGTCGCTCATTGGCGATGACATTGAGCGTGAGTTGCAGCAGCAGGATGTAGAGATAGATAGATTTCTCAAAGTGCAGGTATGCTCAGGTTTTGATGCCTAGTTTACCATTTTATTGATTACATGTTCAAGGTAAACTATTTAATGTTAAACCCATTTAGCCTCATTATTGATGTAAACCTGTTGTATCTTCTACTGTTGATAATTGCACCTGCTAAGTTTTTGCTTGAACTAGGCTTGTGCGAGTATCTCTTCTCTAACTGATATTGTGATTTGTATGAAACATGCTCTCAAGTTTCATGATTAAAGGAAATACCTATTAGAAGTGAGTTATAAGTTATGGAAATGGAAGATTAGAGAATTCTCATTTGACAGTGCTGAATTACCATGATCAAATGGAGAATCTACCTGCATCCGTTCTAGGCATCTATATAAGTCTAATCTATGACCTACCCCCAAATTCTCGTCTGAACTTATAAAGGCAAGCAATGTAAATGGTTAATGATCTATTATCTGTTCCATGTAATGCTTTTCATATTTCGGACTTGTTAAAGTTTGCATATTTTCTATCGAAGAACTTATGTTGGTCCACACTTGAAGGAAAAAGGTGACCCTCTAGTGCACAGTCACTTTCATATATCTTCAAAACTTTTAGTTTAAAAGAATAGTGAGTGCTCAAAATCCAATGATGGAATTTTATAAAAATATATATGACTAGTAAGGTAGTAGAAGGATGTAGTATCCATTTGAGATGCTCAATGTTTTACTTGTTCAGGAGAGTAATCAACCTTTTTGCTGCCTCTTGCTGTTATGGAATAATTGGATCAGTTTAGTTTCTTTAGAAGGTTTGTCAAATGCAAGAAAAAGATAAATCTTATGAAGGTTTGTCATTGCTTCATTCTGTCATTATGACAGTATCAACAAAACTGCTTTTCTTTTAATTAATTGCTTCTAAGTTCAAATACTTATGTACTACATTACAACTTGTGTTTTTAACGTGATTTGGCATCTATATAAATGAAGGAAAAAAACTATCTGATATGAATATGCAACATAATTAATCTTCTCTTTTCTAATAGGGTGAAAGGCTGCGTCAATCAATCTTAGAAAAGGTTCAAGCAACACAGCTTCAGAGTGTCTCACTCATAGAAGACAAAGTACTTCAGAAACTTCGCGAGAAAGAAGCTGAGGTTGAAAGCATCAACAAGAGGAACATGGAACTTGAAGACCGAATGGAGCAGTTGACTGTGGAAGCTGGTTCGTGGCAGCAGCGAGCAAGATACAATGAAAACATGATTGCTGCTCTCAAGTTCAACCTTCAGCAAGCATATGTCCAAAGTAGAGATAGTAAAGAAGGATGTGGTGACAGTGAGGTTGATGACACAGCTTCTTGCTGCAATGGCCGTACCCTTGATTTTCATCTGCTTTCTAAGGAGAACACTGATATGAAAGAGATGATGACATGCAAGGCTTGCAGAGTGAATGAAGTGACCATGGTTTTGTTACCTTGTAAGCATCTTTGCCTCTGTAAAGATTGTGAAAGTAAGCTTAGTTTCTGTCCTCTATGTCAATCCTCCAAATTTATAAGCATGGAGGTCTACATGTAACTGCAAAGTATACTTGTACACGTGAAATCTCTAATTTCATGTCATTATTATGTGCGTCTGTTCTTGTAGCTTGTCTCTGAGGACCATGACACGTTGTAACTAGTTTCTAAGATGCATTTGACCATAATGTGTTCCACATGTTTGAGAACAATGGTTATTGAAAGCATCATGCACCGATGCAGGTGACATTTGTACTGTGTATCACAACTTTGTTTTCCAAAAGAAAATTGTTAGAAGAGGTAATCTTACTATTGCTATAAATGTTTTTCCACAACTTTTTTCCGAAACAATTTCTTCTTCTTAATGTCATTCACTTACAGTTGTTTATTGTGTGATTGTGTAGTGTAGTCACTGATTTTACATGCCATCTTCGTGAGAATGTTATGTTGGTTCTAGTTATATGCTGGGAACTGTTAAACATACATTTTTTCTTAAATATATCTTCTGTTTTAGTTTTTCTTTTTACAAATACTCCACGATACTAAATGGAAACATGTTTCTGGTTTGGATTGAGGTTTCATTCCCAAAAACTACAAAACAGAAAACACATTTTGGTTTTTTGTATAATCTATTTTGAACATAAAATATTCATTTTGTATGAATACCATGTAGATACAAAAGGTATAACAGCATTAAAAAGTGCAAAGTACTTGATCTCAAGAACATTTTGATGTGGTTCTTGAAGGTATACACAGAATTTTAGTTCGGTGATTTCACTTACTGAAGGACAATTTGAAACTCCTCTTGAGGAAGTAGAAGCAGCTTGTAATATTTCTTTTTATTCAAAAACATGTATCTAATTTTTCTTCGACAAAAGAAGTCTCGCAAACTCCCTTCCTCTTTATCTCAAACTGTGTATAATACTTCGTTAGATAAATAGGCTATATATAACAACCTTCAATTTTCTGTTATTTAATTTATATCTTTCTTTCTTAGACCCTTTATTAATCATAAACCGATTTTAGGTCCCATATATGTATTTTCCTTGGATATTCTCCATCTGACAAATGCTATTTGTTCTCCAAAATGTTATTTTTAATGATTATAAACTTTCATATTCTAACATTTTTCCAAAAATGTTATTTTTAATGAATATAAACTTTCATGTTCTAATCTTTTTCCAAAATGTTATTTTTAATGAATATAAACTTTCATATTCTAATCTTTTTTCCAAAACAAAATGCAAATTTCACTTTTTTTTTCTTATGCACTATTTCCTTTGACAATTATGCCCAAATTACCCTTTTTATCACCACAAATCAGTAAACCCTATTAACATTTTATTAAATATAAATAGAAACAGAACTTGAAAAATATTATCAGTATTGTTTTTAATTTGTAAAACAGCTATAATGCAAAACTAAATTAATAAAATAAGTGTGTTGTAACATATTTCATCACATGCCCCTTTCAGTCCTTCTTCACTGAGGTCTACGTTTTGAAATTTCCGTACACTCTAGCTCAAGCGCTTTCGCTGAGCGATATTTCAATTCACTTGCACGGACTTTCATTAATCTGCGAGCTTCCCATTTCTCAGTGCCTCAAATCTCTTTCTTCCATTCCTTTGGGCACTTCATTTCCCTTCAAGCTATTTCCTTTCCTCTCTTCTACCACTCACTCGTTTCAAGTAAGCAATATTTTTATTTTTCTTTTCCTCGTTTTCTTCACTTGTGATTGGGTTGTATGTTGATTTCAACGTTGGAAAGGGAGTCGTGGATTGCGTTTTAAAGTCGGAGTTTTTATGTTTTTTCTTTTCCGGAAAATAATGAGGATTAGGGTTTGTTCCCTTTTTATTTTCTATTGCATGAAGCATTAAGATGATGTCATTGAAGGATGTAGAGAGTGGCTGCTGTTGCGCTTGTGATTGTTTGATTATCGGTAATTTATTGGTTCCTTCTCACTAGGTGTTCGATAAAATGTCTTATTGTGAACATTTTTCTAGCAAAGTTTCTACCTTTTTATAACCCACCTGTTTTTATATGTGATGCATATTCCATAAGCGGCGAGGTTAAACTGTGTGTGTACTTTTGCAACCAGTTTCTTTTGCCGCTCATGCATGTTTTTGGTTCAATTGTTGATCTCTTGGCAATGTGAATTCCCTTTCTTTCCTTCTTTTTTTGTTTGTGATCAGAATTGTTGTTGTTTTTTTTTTTAATGTTTTTTCTGTCAGGATGGATCCTCCAACCGGACCACCCGGGAAAAAAAGGAAGATCTCAAAATCCCAAGGCATTCCATCTTTTGATTCCCACCGGTTCCTTACAGAAGATCACCAACAATGGTACGCCGTAGTCGAGAACCGGAACTTATTACCGGAACGAAAGGTTGTTTTACAAACAGGTGAACACGAAGAGTTTCAACAAGAGCTCCAGAGGCGAAAATGGATCAAATTGACGAAATACGCGGCTCATGCAAATGTAGCCGTTGTAAAAGAATTCTATGCCAATGCAATGTTGCTCAAAGCAGGAGATCCAACCTTCAAAAGCTTTGTCAGAGGCAAAGAGATATCCTATAGTGGCCGAGTCATTAACCGTTTCCTGGGTACGGAACTAAATTTGGGTCCATCAGGCTGTCAATATGTTGAATGGTGCAATAAGAAAAAGGACTACTTGAAGGTGGCTGAAAAACTGTGCAAGCGTGGGGCAGACTATGTAACTAGTGCAGCAGGCCACAAACGGAGAATTTTGAGAGGCGATTTGGTTCCCTTAGCGCAGATATGGACGTCTTTTCTGCATTCCAACATTTCTCCTTGTTCTCACACCTCAGATATCACTGAGAGGAGATCCCAAATGGTATATGCTATTATGGCTGGATTATCCATGGATGTTGGAGCCATCATTGCTCAGGAGATTCATTTGACAGCAACCTCAGGCAGTACTGGTCAGCTGAGTTTCCCGTCTCTAATCACCGAGCTTTGTCGCAGGATAGGAGTTGATGTCTCAGAGCCACCTTTCCAAAAACCTCGGCAGCCTATTAATGCCCAGTTCATTTTGAAAAACTGTATGGGAAGTGAAACTCGTGCTCCCTTAGTGAGAGCTGCGCCTCCTGCTGTACCTGGTAGCATCCCTCATCGACTCGGGCTATTAGAGACTGATCAGCAATTGATCCACCAGAAGTTGGATGCCTTGTACCGTTCCCAGGTTTTGATGATGAGCAGCATACGGAGCCTCATACCTGGCATTTCTCAGGACTCATTTCATTTTCCATCTGCAGAGGAGTTTGATTCCAATGTCGCATGGCCGAAACATCCTGAAAAGCAGGATTCTATTGAGGAAACAGATGAGCATGCGGTTGAGAAGGAGGTGGATGAGCCTGCTGAGGAGGAGGGGGTGAGGATGCTGTTGATGCTAAGGAAGAAGAGGATGAGCACCTTGGAGACTAGGTGATTGAATGTTGGACACTGTTTTCTTTCACTTTTATATCGATTTGTGTTCTGTTTATTTTTATTCTGATCTTTACTCTAGCTGTTAAACTGTTATATGCTGTTTCACTGATGAGTTACTGATTTTTCGTTGCTTTCGTTAATGGAATTTTCACTGTCTACAACCTCTTTGTTTTGCATTGCTCCCATTTGTTTCTCTTGAAATGAGAGTTGTTTATATGAGTATCTGATTTGTGCTTTTGTTGTGTTGTGGGTTCTTTTGGATTTTATATATAGCCTTGATGCTTAGCTTGAGCTATGTGCAACTAACGAGTGTGACATGATAATTTCGAAAAGTTCAATTGAATGCATCAGCATATATCCTTGTGAGTCACAAGTCCCTTTATTGATTCTTTTTTGTGAGTGCCACTTTTGAGACTTCTGCTGTTAAATTTGCTTAGTTCTTGCTGAATGCATAATTTGCATGCATGTTGTAGAAATTATCAGACCAATTTATTTTATACAAGAAGTCAACCTTGAAATCTTTTTCTTGTGATGTCTCTCTGAGCTTGAAAAACAAAGAACTTTTTGTTCTTAACATACTTAAGATGAAAAATAATTAAGGGTAGTCATGGATTTAATTTTTTGAAATCTAGATCCAATAAAATAGATTGGACCTACACTCCAAATCCATTTGAATTAGATAAACTAGATTTGAATTTTTTCATTCCAATTTAATTGGATTAAATCTATATTGAATTCACTTTATTAATTAGATTAAATTTAATGAAACCATCTAATAGACCTGACTAATGGGTTTTAAAATGAAATTAAGTTTTTTTTCTCTTCTTGTACCCTTATTATTAATGATTGTACCCGCATAATAACAGAAAAAAATTAAAATACTTTTTCTCAGTGTATCACACTACCTTTGCATTGTTACTAACAGAAAAAAAAATTAAAATGCTTTTTCTCAGTGTATCACACTACCTTTGCATTGTTATTGTCGCCACATATTGTCATTACCATCGTTGTTGTACCATCCCTCTTACATAGGAAGAAGAAGAGAGATATAATGTGCTGAGAAAAAAGTTCCTATTGGAAAGTTTATTCTATAATGCATTTCATGTATTTCAAAAAAACTCGTTTTAAATAACTGATTCTAAAAGGTATCACATCTGTTCTAGAAAGCTTGTTCAGAAAATTCTATTATAAAAAACTTGTTCTAAAAGGATTGTTTTGAAAATTCTGTTATGAAAATCTTATTCCAAACATTTTGTTCTAGAAATCATGCTCTAAAGATTCTGGAAAGCTTGTTCTAGAACAGATAATTTGGAATTCAATTTTCGAGGGACAAAATGATCATTTTAAAAATTGTAGAGGTGTTGCTAGAAAGTGTGGCAGTGCAATCATGGCGGTGTAGGAAGGAAAAACCATGAAAATGAAAGGGAGGCCTAAGCTCACTTATTGGAGGTCAATTGATAACGAGCCTCTTTCTTCCTACACCTCTTTGCACCTTCATAAAACTCATAAACCTCATTTTACCCTTTTAAAAATTTAAGTTTAATTACTCATTTGGTCCTTATTTTCATCCAAAAATGTCAAGTTAGTCTTTCAATTTTTTTAAGTCTCAATTTGATTTTGATATGTGAAAGGTGACATAATTTGGTCATGATTTCTGAAAAATTGATACAATTTAGTCATTTTTGTTAAATTTCTTGAAACGGATCAATGATTTTTGAAAAATCCTTGATCTGTTTCAAGAAATTTAATGGAAATGATCAAATTGCATCAATTTTTCACAAATTAGAACCTAATTGCATCTATTTTCACAAATCGTATCAAATTGAGACTAAAATAAATTGGAGGATCAACTTGGCAATTTTGGCATTTTTGGACGAAAGTAGGAACCAAATGACTAATTAAGCAAAATATTTTGTAAAAACATAACTTTATTCACCCTTCTCACTTCCTTATTCTCTTCTCATTGAACGTCCATACTCCTCACCATCTTCACCCTTTAACTCCATTTTCATTGGTGAGAAGCTTTTGGAGCAGGAATTGTGAACGTTTGCCTGCATCTGGTGATTGATTAAAGAGGTAATCTTCCACTTCTTATCCGTTTTAGGGGGTGGGGACAGTGGTTATGACATTTGTGGTTTTAAATTTGATTATGCGTGTTTTTGAAATACATTCTAGAATGTATATTTTTTGTGAGATGCATTCCGGATTGTGCATTCTGAAAGATATCTTTAAATGTGAAAATATGCTTTGAAATACACATTCCAGAATGTATGTTTTCTAAATTTGAAAGCACATATATTAATATGCAATAGATGTTATGTATCTATGATTTGATTAATACAATGTTAATGTTTGTTGATATGAAATTATGTACTATATAGGAGGAGAGGTGGTGCAAGCCAAGGTGAAGGCAAGCAGGGGCCTACGTCTTTGGCCTGTAGAAAAAACTCTGCAGAAGCTGTAGAAGGGATTAGTGTAGATCCTGTGACTTTAGCTGTAAGGGGTAATGAGCAGCAGGAAGGATTTCCTGGAGGACCATCAGACCCTTCTTTACTGGTTAGTTATGTTGATCACGTGGCATATAGACTATGGGACGGCGAGGTTAGTTTAAAATTTTGACTTTGATGTTATTTTGATGATGATTTTGTATTTTATATATTATAACACATGTATCTATTAGGATCGAGGAGAATTGAAATTAGTCTCCCATGGTCGTAAATTGAGTAAATTCGGGATTTATGATCCTCATATTGAGGCATATGTACTTAATTCTGGTTTATTGCCTTTGTGCTACATAAGTTATGAGACAGCTGATAAGGGATTGATATCAGCATTTGTGGAGAGGTGGCATCGAGACACGAACAGCTTTCATCTCCCAGTTGGTGAAATGAGCATAACATTAGATGATGTGTCGGCACTGCTTCATATCTCCATTGTGGGACAATTTTGTACATATGAGCAGCTGGAATTTGCCGCTGCGGCAATAGTTTTGGTGGACTTGTTGGGAGTTGAGCATGAAGATGCGACCTCAGAAATGAGACATTGTCGTGGGGCACATGTAAGACTTAGTTGGCTACGAGAGGTTTACGAGGAATCATGTGTCCAACAGCGTTGGGAATGCGCAGCACGAACATACTTGTTGCATCTTGTAGGATGTACTATATTTGCTGATAAGAGTGCGACTTCCATTAGTGTGTCATACCTACTACTATTTAGGAATCTGAGAATGTGTGGCAAATATTCATGGGGAGCCGCTGCATTGACACACATGTACGAGCAGTTAGGTGATGCATGCTTTGCAAAAACGAAACAATTGGGTGGTTATGCCACGCTTGTCCAGGTAAATGATATATAAATTGATTTTAAATTTAATTTTCTTTTTATCTAAACACATGATGTTAGAATGTTTTCCTTAAAATTTTATAGGCTTGGATATACGAGCACTTTCCAGGGATGGGAAATAGAGACATCGTCCCAGCATATCAAGAAGTTCAACCGCGAGCTGCACGATATGTTACCAGACGACATATCTCTACCGTTAGAGTGGTTAGGTTGCAGTTAGATAATTTGACCCATGCTGGAGTCATATGGAACCCTTATGAAGCGCATAGGATCACTCAACCCTTCGAGTCAATTACGCTCTTTTCTGGTTTCATTCGTTTGGGTGCGTCTTTGCATCGTCATATGCCGGAGCGAGTCTTGCGACAATATGGCTACGAGCAGACTGTTCCGAGATCTCCCACGACGATTGATAGTGTTGACTTGACTATCATTGATGAACGGTGGTTACACTTGGCAGACCACCTAGTGACAGGGATGATACCGGCTACCTCAGCGTCTGCTTGTGCTGACGGTTACATGAATTGGTATAAGAGTGTGTCACACCCTTACATACTTTCTAGTGGAAAGGAAGGTCGACCCAGTGTCTTACCACGCCAACATTGTCATAGCTCAGATGAAGGAGGTAGACTCACACCACCACAGCATGAGCATGCTTGTTTGGTAAGTCATTTAGGTCATATATATTCATTATTTATTTACCATGATGTTTACTGTGATTGTATGATTGATTGGTTTGATTTTGATGAATGTAGGACATATTTAGTCGCATCGCGAACGAGTTACAAAAGATGATTGATTGCGGTGAGGTGACTGAAGGAAGTCCAGCATGGGTTGGGACCCAAACATCACTACAATTAGCCCGTGATGTCATTGATAACAAAACGATTTGTATTACATGTTCTCGTAATGTATTTGAGCGACACGATGAGCATAGTAGTTAAATTTGACTTGTTTTGTATATTTAAGTGTTGTATAAGATATAATTTGTGAAAATTTGTTTTCATTTTATATATATTTTGAGGAACCTCTTCTTGTAGTATGAAAGTATATATAACTGTGATTGAAATATATTATAAATGCCTTCATGTTCGACGATACAATACAATAATTTAATCAATCCTTTGCAAGATTAACATACTGATTTTAATACGTAACAATTATTCTATTCTATTAAGATAAAAGGAGGGCAACAACTTAGCTTCATGGTAACACTGTGTGAACCATAACATATCAACATTTGTTATGGCATAATTATCTCACAATTTCATCTGCATAAATTGAGATATGCTGATGTAGTTAATATTAATTTTATGTAAAAAGTGTTTAAACAATGACTCAATTGAAGTTACCTGAACAAAATGTGAACGGTAAACATATTCTTTTGTGATGACATGGTGTATCATGATGTTCTAAGGTGGTTTACTTTGTAATGTTAAGTCAATGATAAACACACTAAGACATAACCTGTATAGAATTGAATAAGTGAATTGAATAAGTGCTTATGAAATTAGAGTTACCAAATGATTGAACTGATTTTCAAATGTGTGAAATAACTTATTAATGACATAGTAATCTTTTTTTACTTTTTCGACTCGTTCATACTTAATATTATTATATATTCATCACATCATTGATTTAGTTCTTTAAATAAATCCATTCAAACAAGTGATCATGACTCTTCACCTATTAGCAACAAAGATAATAATGTATTAATACTCACAATGACTATCAACTTCGACATCAACAATGTAAGGGTGACAACATTGGTATTGTTTGTCTTAACTTGGGAACATACACTTTTGTCTTTGATTGCGTGACTTTCTTTTTACAATAACTACCATGTATAGAATATAAGGCGTCAACATGCATAAAATATGACCGGTCACACTTGCTAGACTTCTCAAATTAAGATGATCAAGTCTTTTGTGAAGTCTTTGTTTTGACTTTATGTATTTAAGTACCAAAGTCTTATCAAGACATGCAATTTCACGTAACTTCTGTTTGATTGTCACTTTTTCTAACAATGTAAACTTCTTTAAAATGATTCAAAATAAGATCATATTTCTATTGAATAGACAACTCATTGAAATTATGTATATGAAATATTAGAAAAACTCAATGTAGTTCCATCAAGAGATAATATGAATTTCATCCTGAAGTATTATTCTTTGGTCATATCTAACTAATTCACAAGTATAAGGTAAACAGTGAGTTTGCCTCAATACCTAATGAAAACATTCACTATCAAATCCAACATATCTAACCCGTTCAAACTTTTCAACAATATGCATCAAAACATATTTAGACATAAAGCCCGCCAGTCTTTTATACAAGCTGACCTTGAAAGTATGACCCACAACATGTAAACTTTGCTCAAATGATACCTTAATCTCATTATCTTGTACTATGATGACATTGTTTAATGAATCCCAACAATAAAAATGGAGGTAAGGTTACAGGTGAAGCTGGTGATGAGTTTGTGCGATTCAGTGATAAAAGGAAAAGGAAGGAGGTGAAGAGGATCTTTAGATTTATTGAAGTCTTCAACAGGAATAATATGAGGTTTACAATTTCATTGGTACATGAAGAAAAAAGAGAGGTGCAGAAAGCAATTTCTTGACATCGAACTCAAGGCCCAAGCTTGGTTATTTCCTTGTTGGATCACAATAATATCGTTTTTTTACTCATTTTATTTGTTTTTTAATCTCTTTTTTTTTTTGCAATTACTACATAACTAATTTTATTTACAAGTATTGGGAAAACCTTAATCTTTATGAATTAAGATTCTGTAAGTCAATACCCTATAACTAAACCCCAAAACCCTTGATAAGTACCACGTCATGCCAAATTACCAAGGATTTATTGGTTTAGATAAACGAAATTATTCAAATTAAATAATTATATCCAACGTGAAGTTCTCACTAATATAAATTTTGTATGTAAAATTTTACTATAAAGATTCATGGTACAATAAGTTGAGTGATTTGAAATTGTTGTATAAAGCAATTATAGGCACAGTATTTCTAGAAGGAATAAAATTGTATTGCAGTTTTCTCCTACAAACATGGTACAGTGTTAAAAGTTATGTAAGTGGTGGAAAGAGGAAAGGTGAAGAAAACAATGATGATACTTTTTCCATTTTTTTTTTAAATTATCAGATCATTTTGTCCTTTGTTACATCTTATTTTTTTAAGTTAACGATCACTTTATATCTTTATTTTTATCATGTTATTGGTCACATTTATTATTGATTTTATTCAGAGAAGGTGCAGAATGTCGAGATAGTAGTTATATATAACAATAATGATAAAATCCAAAATTTAGAAATAATGATAATATTAGAATCAGTGATGATTAGGTGAGAACAATGTCTTTAAAAGTAGCAAAATATTATTTTAAAAACAAAAATCCAAAATTTATGAATATTTTTTCTTATTTTTGAAAATAAATTAAATTCAATATTTCAAATTCTTGTCAAAGGCTTTTATTCAAACTGCATTACTAACATTTTTTATGTGTAAGTGAAAAGTAAAACTATTTTTGTTTTGTTTTGCATAGTTTTCTTTTGTCTAAGAGTGTTTGGCAAGATGGAGAAAAGCTTAAGAGGAAGATATAGGGTGTGGAAAGTAACACTTTTTCTTTTCTTTTTTTTTCTTTTGATTTTTGAAGGAGAAGATTGATGAACTTTTTTCTAATCATGCCTTGAAAAGAGATGACAAAGGAAAGTGTTATGATTATAACTATTAATCTATTATTGTCATCATAATCATTCCCACTTCTTCTTATAACTTTCACACAGCAAAATCCTTCTCATCTTACTCCTCTCATTTTCATCCTACAATTTTGCCTTTTCTTTCCACTTTCTCTTTTTCTTCTTTGCATTCTTTATTCACTCCACCTCCCTTTTTGCCTTGCCTTTTCTTCTCATCTTTCCTAAACCTAAAACAATAAGTTCATCTAATTCCTAGACACAATTCAATGAAAATGATTTTACTATTATTAAAAATATATACACTAGAAAAATTTAGAATTTAAGTACAAATTTAAGTAAATTTAAGTCACTTAAGCAAAAATAAAAAAAGTTAAACAACATAGAAAAAGATATTTAAATTTTTTTTCTAAAAGTTTGGATTAAAGATAATTGTTAAAAATTTCATATTATTAGATAAAATTAATTTATAATATATAAATAAATATAAATTTTATTTTCCAAGTTAATTTATAAGATTGAATTAAATTTAAAGTTTTTTTTTAATTATGTAAATTTATGTTTCATCTTTTTATAAAATACATCCGGAGATATATCAAACACCAACATTTTCTCCCAAACCCTAGATAAAATATATAAATTTGTGAAGAATAATGAATAGATTTGCAGAATGAAGAGTGATTAGTTAAGTTGAATCATGCAATCTCACCCTTATTCCCCATAAAGCTGTTTACATAAATACTTTCTTTTTTTCTTCTTTCTCTCAGTGGGGTTTGTGGTCAGCTTTCTCTAGACTTGCTTCCTTCCACTTTGTATCACTTTTCTTTCTTTTTGCAGTGATATCATGCATGCACCAGCTCATTCAATTTATTTTGTCACTGCAATCAATACATTATATATCTCTTCTTTTGCAGTCAAAGTTATTCCCCCTTTAAACTGAACTTCTGCTTTTCAAGGATATTGTGCTCTGATGCAAAGCTTCACTCCATGTAAATGGAACATTTGTTCTTTTCCAGGATATATCTATATCTATTATTATTGCTTAATGAGTGCCCTTATACAAGTTTTCTCAATTATGCAGAAAATAAAACAAAGTTAGAATAAAAGCGGCTGTCACGAAGTTAGTCTCTCAAAGATGAAAATGTATAGTGGAATATTCTCCTTGGTTATTACTTCTAAATATATCAAGTGGGTAGATATATATTTTTATTCTGATTATAACTTTTAATTGCAGTTTACAATCTTGATTTGAATCAACCATTCTTTCACTCATTACTTAAAATTTTTATTCATTATATAAAATCTATGTTTTCAAACTAAAGTAGTTATTAAAATAGTAAAGTTGAGAAAGAAAAAAACAGTCTATATGACAACTGAAACATAATTTTCAGATGAATTTCAGTATGTCCATAACCCTTTTTTTCTACAAGCATATTAGATTTCATTATTTTCGTCTAGGAAAATTTAAATAGAAAACTTTCAAAATCGTGTCTTAAAATTGAAAAATGACCACTTCTAGTACAGGAAGGAGAAAAGACACCGGTTAATTTTGCTTATAGACATCGGTTCTGCAACAGAGACATTTACGGACGAGGTAAAAAGGGGTAGGCTTTATGCCTCGGTCACGAACCGAGATAAAACTAGATAGGATTATGCCTCGGTTCTTAGATAACCGAGGCAGTAGCGTTTTTTTTTTTTTCTCAGACTTTAGGAATCGGTTCATGCTGTATTGCCTCATTTTACTTTATCAGGTTGCAACTCTTTATCAACTGCTAAGGCAACATACACAATGGAAGCGTGCTCTTCAGATCCAAAATCCATTTCCATGTCACAGGAAAATTCCCACTACGGTTGGTCATGTGGTGTAGTGGAAGCTATGTGTAAACCTTCAACGCGAGGAGTGGCTCTGACGGTAGAGGAACCTGAAACAGAGTGGTGCAAGTCAAAGTGTTTTTCAGTTGATGTTGGAAACTTGGAACAATACGCCACCAGAATATCCCAACCCGAGATCAAAACAGAGACCTAAGATTTCCCAATTTTAGAAACCCAATTTGATAGAACCCCAATGCAGAAAGTAATAAAATTGGGGATGGGGATCTGATGGTGACGATCCTGGTGGTGGCGATCCTTTCCATCCTCCAACACTCCTCCTGCTCGCAAAACATTTTCTTCCCCTTCGTTTGCTCCTCCAACGCGTCCCTCCTACCACAAGCTCTGCTAGCAACACCACCAACACCAGGGATCAATATCTCAGGCACCTCAACAAG